TAGCTTGTTCCAAGTAGGTGCTTTAGACCACTGAGCCATCTCTCCAGCCCATGGGCCTCTAATTTTTAAAATAGGATTTCACCACGTTCCTCAGACAGGATTCAAAGTAGTGATCCCAGATTTCTGGGCTTGTAAGTGTGCACCACCACCTGGCTATTGCCTGACATTTCTTTTTTTTAATTAATGGTCAGCTCAGCCCACCCTGGGGGTGGGGCTGACATGGCATGTGGTGCTGGGGATCAAACCAAGGTCCCTGCATGCTTGCCTAAGCAGGTGCTTTAGACCACTGAGCTATCTTGCCAGCCTGCCTGACATTTCTTGATATGGAAAATTTTTTTTTTTTTTTTGACTCAGCCTGCCTTAAGGGCTGGTCTGGTAAGGCAGGTGGAGGTCAAACCGCAGTATCCTGTGCCTGACTGTATTTGCATGAGCAGGCGCTTAAAGAATTGAGCTAACTGGCAGGCCCCCTGCCTGACATTTCTTCACTGACCACGTCTTAAGTTTCATCCCATTTTTCTTCTTTTTCTTTCTCTTTCCTCCTTCCTTCTACTCACATCTATCCATTTATGCATCCATTCTGAGAATTAAGCCTAAGACCCTGTATATGCTAGGGAGGTGCTTTACTCAATTATATCCCCAGCTTCCTAACTGTTTCTCGCCAACATTTTTTTTCTTCAACATTTATTTTGTTTTTTCCCCTTTAATATGATCTGTAGGATCAGTTCCTAGGATCTCAGTACTGATTCCCTCGGTTAAACCCCAAGTTCCAAAACAAACAAAATAATGACTTGTTAATATAAAGTTGAATCCCCGGTTCTGCCATAAATAAATAAATAAATAAATAAATAATGCAGAGAGGACAGATTTTAAAGGGCTGGGGAGATAGCTCAGTAGAATAAGCACCTGTCTGGCAAGTGCAGGGTCCTTAGTTCAATCTCTAGTACTGCAAAAAAACAAAAACAAAAACAAAAAACACCAAAAAAACACAACAAGCTAAAATAAAATTTGGGGCTATCTTTATATTAATATTTTATTTTATTTTTTAGATAAGGTCTTGCTATGTAGCCCAGGTTGGCCTCAAACTCATGGCAATCCTTCTGCCTCAGCCTCCTGAGTGCCAGGATTATTGCCACATACCAGCATACCTGGCAATTTTATATTAATTTGTGAAGTCCATCTCTAGAATTAGTCTCTTTTAAAAAATCTATTAATCTGTACAGCAATTAACCACTAAGAATATATGCAGTGTATTATTTGTTGAAACTGTACTTACAATTTGATTTGAAACTGTCTCATTGCTGTTTATCAATAAAACTTTGAAAAAAAATCTATTAATCTATATCACAGGAAAAGCAATTATAACATAGCATTTCAAATCAGGGAATTGGCTGGATGTGGTGGTACAAATCTAAGATCCCAGCAACTTGGGGGGCTAATGCAGGAGGATCACTGCAAGTTCAAGGCTGGCCTGAACTACATAGCAAACCCCTATCTCCAAAAGATAAAACAAAACAGAAAAACAAAGGAATTCGTATTAATCAAATCAATTTCTCAAAAAGCAAAAAAAAAAAAAAAAAAAAAGTTCATGACACAAGAGTTTCAGTCAGGATTAAAACTTTAATATATAAACCTGGTTGAAATTAGGTTGTATATCCTCAGAAAAAGCAAACAGGCTTTAGGTCAGTCTTTTTCCAAAGGGAATAAAATAAGCTGACAAGTTTATCTTTTTATTTATTTTTTGTACCGGTGATCAAAGTCAGGACCCTGCACTTGCCAGGTAGAAACTTATGTTGCTGAGCTAAAACTCTGGCCCCTTGTGAATATCTGTTAAGTGAATGGTATTGGGAGCATCACAGAAGAGCTACGTACCACAGTCACTGACCTTCAGGATGCCTTTATAGGAAGATATTGCTGGTGTACGGGAGTCTTTAGTTCTCATCTGATTGGGTATCTTTAAGGTTTTGATCACTGCACAAGCTAACAATGTAATTTATTAAAACTTTTGGGGGCTTGAGGGTTAGCTCAGTTGTTTAAGCACCTGCTGGGGCAAACCCAGTCAGGCGTGGGGGACCTTGGCTTGATCCCCAGCTCCACATGCCACACCAGCTCCCCACTAAAAAAAAAATCCAAAGGGGAGGGGAACTTTTTTTTTTTTTTTTTAAAACATGGTCTTGCTATGTAGTTCAGGTTCGCCTCAAAAAAACTGAAGACAATCTTCCTGCCTTGGCCTCCCACATAGTGGAATTACAGACCTGTGCCACTATGCCTGACTAGCAATATCATTTGTAACACATGAGCTGTATCAGTTCTGACCTCTGGTGGAACTGGAGAGTAGAAATCAGTTGCATAGACAGCTTGTAATCAAATCTAAATAAAACCTCTGGACAGCAAAAGTGGGTATGAGCCTCAGCAACTCTGCATTTGGTCACACAATGCTGTTTTGAGACAAGGCAATACATCTTAGAGGATAATTTTTTGGCCTTTAGGACTCTCTCATATCTTGCCCTACCTCTTCACCTAGCTTATACTGTTAATACAACTGTAATTATAAATACAGCACGTCCTAGAGTTCTGTGAATTTTAGTAAGTATGAGGAGATTGTAGGAAAACATAGATTTGGAGCCCGTTACTTAAGTGGGATGATGGCCTGGAGACCTCTGAATCTGTGGCTGATATGAGGGCAGTTTTGACCATGGCCATGGCCTTGAGTTTGGCAATATATTGGATGCAAAACATTTAACAATTTTATTGTGTTTATTACACAGAGAATAAAAAACCAAAGAAATTATGAACATTCTGGAGAAACTGGCTATATTTTCTCCAATTCTAACATTTTTAATCATGCTGCCTGTTTCAAGTGCTATTTTCTATTTGTATCAGCTTCATATGCTAAATTTTAGGATTTATTTTGAACAGAATAGCTTGACCTCATCTCCACTTCATCTATACCTGTAAATACTATTCTGCTGTATGTGTCTTTCTACTTGATCATAAATTTAGCATTTTTTCTCATTAGTCTCAATTTCTATGGGTTTAAACCTTTTGTTCTACATAATACATATTGAGTCAGGTCATTATCCTTGTTTTGTAGTTGTCTTTCCTTGTTATGTGGAAAAACAATTTATGGCAGAGTCCTACAAAGAGATTCTGTTGTATCTTTTGTGATAATTGCATTTGAACCCAGGAAGTGCTGAGCTACATCCTTAGTCCTTTTTACTTTTTTACACAGAGATAGAGTCTCATTAAGTTGCTCAGGTTGGTCATAACCTTGAGATCCTCCTGCCTTAACTTCTAGAGTAGCTGCAATTATAGGAATGCACTACCATACCCAGGATGGGGAAAATCCCAGTACCCTCCCCTCAAAAAAGCAGAAAGAAAAGTGTTTTATTAGAAATAGTGAGCTGGAAAAATAGCTCAGTGGACTAAGTGAGTGCTTTGGCAAGTGCAGGGACTAGGGTTTGATCCCTGGTCATGCATGCCACACCGGTGCCAGCCCGGTCCCTGAGGTGTGCTGAGCTGGCAACTGAGTCCGGGTATGGTGCACGTGCCTGTAATCCCAGCGCTGGGAGGCTAAAATCACTACAAGTCCAAGCTCTGTAGTGAGACCCTGTACCAAATACATAAATGAAAAAAGAAAAAGTAACTTTTCTTTGTTATCTGAAATTCTGTATCATCTGTAATTTTTTGTTTTAACACTATTTTGTACTCCCTTTTTAAATTTTTTTTTTTATTTTTGTATTTTAGGACAGGGTCTACAGGGTCTCACTGCGTAAATCAATCTCACAGTGATCATCGTGCTTACAGCCTCCCAAGTGCTGGGATTACAGGCATGTGCCACCACGCCCAGTCTCAATTGTCTCAGTGTGCCTCAGGGGCGGGACCCGCATGGCAGGCCTGGTATGGAACTCCTGACCCCTGCATCTGTCTAAGCAAGCACTTTAATCCGCTGAGCTATTTGGCCGGCCCTGTACTCCCTTTAAAAAACAATAACAACAACAACAACAACAACAAAATTAAGAAATAGATATAGCAACTTTTGCTACCACTCTTAACTTTTGAAAACAGAAAATTAGTCACACATAGCATCAAAGGAATAATTCACTTTCATTTAAAGGAACTCAAAAAAAAGAATGTTTAACTGATTCACATGAATCCATATAATAATGTGTAATCTATTTATTAAAAAATTTTCAGAATAAAACTGAATTACTCATGAGTAAACAATCAATTATGAAAAGGGTTAAAATTCTACCTGATGAAATAATTCCATGTCGATTTCAGCTTCTGATTTCCAAGAGTTTTCATCTGATTGAAATAAAAAGAGACTTACTAAATTTTTTGAACTGTTTTACTCTGTGCATATCTTTATAAAAAAAGTGAAACATAAATAATCTTTATACTATTAAGATGCCTACTTACCAGAAACATTTTCTTGGAAAATAACTTTAGTTCCTTTAAGAAAGTTCTTGCCGATTAAAAACACTTCTTCCTCTCCTTTCACTGAACAACTATGTAAGCTTTTCTTTAAGATCTCTGGTACTCCTGCTGGCTGAGCTGTGGGTATACACAAGCATTTCATAAAAAGAATCAACACTTATTTCTTACCTAAGATTAACTTCTGTTTATATATCCAGGTCTGTGAGTTGTCATACTGACCCTGAATTTAAATTATTTGGCAGTTTAACTTTTATCCTAACAGAGGGTAGAAAAGAAAATCAGAAAAGTCCACATTAATGTTATGTCTAAGATGTTTGACATTCAGACAGATACTGAGGTTAAGCTCAACTGCCTATGTTATAGGGTAATAATATCATTAAGCTTCTCTTCTGGAGGGTTAACAACTTAAGTTTGCAGATCAAAAATTAGAGAAAAAGAAGGGCTGCAAGGACAGCCAACATTTTGGCCCTAACCTTTCAAGGTCAGTGAGGACTCAGGACATAGGAGAACCCGTACTGTTATATCCTGTAACTCATGTCCCAAATTTTCTGATCAAGGAGATTATGGGGCTATAGAAGAAAGTGATCGATGATACAGAATGTACCTAAGGAGAGTCAGATGGAGAGAACACATTCTCTCAGGCTTTCACAGACAGCAAATTGGTCAGGCAATGGCCGTGACTCATCCACATGGCTGACACTGACAAAGGATCTACAAACTGTGGTACAAGATTTCAGGGTAAATCCTGAGGGGATTTGACTAACCTTGTCAAATACAAAAATTACTTTTCTTGTTATACAGGTCTTGCTTTATCTTGGTCTTAACCATCCAATAGAAAAGTATAAAAAGGTATAAAAAGTAAAGCCATATTAATATGCTGAGCTGTAAAAGGCTTAAGTCAACAACTTCTGACATTGCCAGTCCTACAGCTAACGCACTACTTTTATGGACTACTGGACTATATTGGATTATTTTGCTGAATTCACGTACCTACAATATTTAAATGGCAATAGAATACTCTGACAAAAGTAAACAAAAAAGGGGGATACAAATGAAGGACCATTTTGTATCTATATATACAAAATAATTAGTATAGATATACATCTACTTTCTCTTAATTCAATGAGAAGAAAGATTTGTACTAATAGCACTTGGACAGGATATCATGTTTGCATCTTGTACTATGAATAACCACTATAAAGACAACAATATGCAATGTGTTAATTATTGAAACTGCCCTATTAATTGGTTTTGAAACTGCCTCACTGCCATTTGTTATTCAATAAAATAAAAAAAAACTTTATAGATATAGATATGGTTAAATGCCACCTTTGTCCTTATGTAAGTGGTAAAAGGTGTGTTTTGTTTTGTTTTGTTTGTATCAGGGATCAAACTCAGGACCTTGAGCTTGTCAGGCAGGTACTTATGCCACTGAGCTATATGCTTGGGCCATAAGTGGTAAAAGTTTGAAAAAAATGAATTTGGTCTTATTTTATCTTACTAATTTTTAAAAAAGCTTTGGTGGTCACAGGGATCAAATCCAGGGACTTGTATATGCTGGGCAAGTGCTCTACTGCTGCATTACATCCCCAGCCCTTATCTTTGTATTTTTTTAATTACATTTTAAAAAACGGGCTTGTCCCACAGTCCTAATCTTTAAAATGTCAGCTATGCTATACCATTACAAGGTTCCTGAGGTAATGACTGGGAGGTGATGGTACTAATATCTTTAAGAATCTAGACACATAACCCCATAACAAAAGGACACCTAAAATTGAAACAAATCTCCAAAATAATTTGTTCTACCAGGTAGTTTCTATGAACCAGAAACTTTGATGGTAAAACCTAAGATGCATTTGTTTTTCAACTGGAAGGATTAACTACTACTAAAATTCACAAAGATAAGTATTAAGGAGCAAGAAATAATGGGAAACTGTAATTAGTCTATTAATTGCCAGGATTTCCTTAAGAAAATTTAATAGGTATTCAAAGACAACAATATGCAATGTATTAATTATTGTAACCATCCTACTAATCTGTTTTGAAACTGTTTCACTGCTATTTTATCTTTTTCTCATTAAAATGAGTAAAAAAAGATTAATATATCAGGGAGACCACCTGCCCAAAGCCCCCCTCCTGTACTCTCTCGGACAGGAGCTTTCTTTCCCCTAATAAATATATTTTGCTCTTAAAAATAAAAAAAAGAAAAGAAAATTTAAGAGGTATTACATAAGAAAACAGATTCCAAAATCAAGTAGAAAGTACTGGGTTAAGAAAAGCTAAACAAAACAAAACAGAATGAAATAGAAAAAGAAAAGCTAAACAAAAATAAGTCTATAAGCATTTTATGCTCTATACAGAAATATCTAAGAGGTAAGAACAGTATACAGTTTTCTGAAAATATCTGACACCAGAAACATTCTTCCTTACCAATATCTACAGGACTAATTTCCAAAAGACCACTCTCTGGGATTCTAATGTACAATGATGTATTTTAAGCACTCCTTAAAGGTCTTGTTCCCCTATGGTTAACACATTCCTGTTAGCTTGACCCACTGGTGGTACAAACAGATCTAACCATTTATTTTTTAAAATTTATTTATGTATTTATCTATTTATTCGTTTAGGGATGGGAAGTGGTGGTGATATCTCACTGTGTAGTTTTAGCTTTTTTTTTTTTTTTTTGGTATTTAGTACAGGGCCTGCAGGGTCTACAGTGTCTCACTACACAGATTAGACTTGTAGTGATTCTCCTGTTTTCAGTTTCCCAAGCCCTGGGATTACAGGCGCACACCACCACGCCCAGTCTCAATTGCCTTTCAGCAAACCCCAGGGGTGAGGCCCACATGGCAGGTTGAGATCGAACCTCTGACCCCTGCGTCTGCCAAAGCAGGTGCTTTAATCTGCTGAGTTATCTGGCTGACCCATTCAAGCTATTCTTTTTTTTTCTTTCATTGGCAGAACCAGGGTATGCTTGCCAGGGAAGCGCTTATTCCACTGAGCCATCTCCCCCCACTCCCCCCAAGCTATTCTTGAACTCACTCTAGCCCAGGCTGGCCTTGAACTCATGATCCCTTTGTCTCTTGGCCTCCCAAATGCTTGGACTACAGGCACGCATACCATACACAGCTCAGTTTTATTGGTCTTTTTACTAATAAAATTAATAAATAGCCATACAATGGGAATAGTCATGTATGTACCAGCAGTGGTTCAAGCTATCTAGCAGTGAGATATATGAACACATACGGTCCCATCATGAACATGTAAGCACTTTATGTCAAGGCCTATACTACTTGTTTTAACAAACCCCTACCTAACTCATCAATGTCTAAATTACTAAGATTCTTCCATAAACTGAGAAAATCCTTGTTTACATATTTAATAGTGAATTTTATCTTTATAAAAAAGCTAACATGGAAAGCTGTGTTATCACTGCCCCTCTTTCCCCTGACCCCTTCTTAGAGAAAGGATGTCAAGCTTAGCCACGTGGCTTATTAAATGTGAACCAAAGGCTGGCGAATAGTTCAGCGGTCTAAAGCGCCTGCTTAGGCAAGCACTGGGACCATGGTTCCGTCCCTGGCACATGTCGCACCAGACAGCCAAAAAAAAGTGAAATGTGAACTGATGTGATATGCCACACCCAAGCAAAAGCATTAAGAGCCACCATAGTTCTACCACCTCTGTTGTAAACCACTCTTCCTTTATTGATTTCTCTCTCCGTTTTGGCTGTTAATACCAATGTAAACATAATGAAGCATCATTCTGCCTTTACTTACTATACAAACAAGTATCCTATCTCTGTTACATGAAACTGAATGTATATATGTATGTACTGTCTAGAACGCACAGGGTTAATATATGAATGGAATGTGAAAGGCTGTCAGTTGTAAACTGACAATTAAAGATGAAAAATTATATTAATATACTGCATTAAAAAAACGAAATACATAACTTTTCCCTCCATTTTCCAAATACTGTGTGGAAATCCCACCTTACTGATGACTACTAAAACTTTTTTCAGCTCAGCAGTGTGGTATCCCATGCTGGTAATCTCAGCACTTAGGAAACTAAGGCAGGCAGATCACTGAAAGTTCAAGGGGAAAAAAAAAAAAAGAAAGTTCAAGGCCAGCCTGAAATATATATCCAGATCCTGTTTAAAACAGCAACAGACAGAAATAGGTAGGGGTTTTTGGGTTGTTTCTGTCTTTTTCTTTTTTGCGGGGGGGGGGGGGGACCTGGAATTGGATGTTTCTGTCTTTTTTGAGACAGGGTCTCCCTATGCAGTTCACATACTTTGTAGCTTAGGCTGGTTTCAAATTTGCAACAATCCTCCTGCCTCAACCTCCCGAATGCTGGGATTACAGGCATGAGCCACCATACCCAGCCAACTTCCCCCCCTTCATCTCCTTTTCCCTTTTTATGTATGGAAGGGATAAGATGGCTAAATGAGGTACTGAAAGTCTACATTACATTATCCATATTTACATTATAGAAAAAAACACCTGGTCTGTTACTGTTCAAGACAATTTAACTTTTTTTTTTTTTGCAGAACCAGGGATTGAACTCAGGCCCTTGCGCTTGCCAGGGAAGTGTTTATTCCATTGAGCCATCTCCCCAGCCCCAGCAATTTAACTTTTAACTTTTGATTTTAGTACATGTCCTGCTGAAGCAAGGTCAACTTTTAACTTCTAATCTTGTTTCTGTAGAGATAGTCTCACTATGCAGTTCAGACTGACCCTGAATTCACTATATAGCCTAGTTTGGCCTCAAACTCTGTTAATCCTCTTGCCTTGGCCTCCCAAGTGCTGAAATTATAGGTACATACCACCATGCCCAGGGTAACTTCTGATCTTTCAAAAAATGTCCTCTGTACTTAAAAAGTTTAATGGGGAACCAGGGGTATATAGCTCAGTGACACAAGCATCTGCCTAGAAAACACAAGGTCCTGAGTTCAAGTCCTACACCAAATGTCTAATGGTTACTGTTATGGTTTATGTCTCAGGATGTAGAAGTCCTTCCAAAGCCTTGTGTGCTCATAGATGATGACTGGATCACAGTAACATGATACTCATCAGGAGATTAGTTCATGGACAATTTATAGCTAAATATGATACTGG